GCTATAATTAAGGGAGTATAACATTATATCACAGAATCTTCAACACTGCTGTGTATGATTTACTTTTCTCCGTCTCTGATATGATCGTTAAATCTGACACCCACTAATCACAGAGCCGTGAGTTACCCGTGTCCATCATTTTAAAGCCAAACCTGGCAGGATTTACATTTCCAAGCTGGCAGAATGCCGTCAAATAAAGGGAAAGAAACCAGGCAGAGAGACGGGCAGCCGGGCGCGGTTCGCCCGCGTACCGCCGCGCCTCACCGGAGCGTCTTGGCTGTCTACGGAAGATATTTAAGGACAACTTGAGTTCAAAGTGAAGGAGCTCTGTCAGCAGATCTACCTGCTTCCTTCCTTCTCTCTTTGTCTAACGGAGCCAAGTTCAGAGGAGAGCGAGCGCGCAGCCAAGTCAACAGCAGAGAGCGTGTTGTTTTTGGCTAAACGCTGTGAACGCGACGGGGAATGTTACATACGGCACGACAGATCTCTCTTTGACAGGTGGGGGAACGATATCAGCTTGACACGATTTGCACTGGTTGGGCTCTCCTGACAAGCAGATGATAGGATACTCAGAGCTCGGCGATGACATGCACAATGATAGCGTTGGAGCAGCGACTCGTATAACTCAGGCCAACCTGCCGATCCGACTCTTCAACCCAGCCGGGTGATGTGAGAGGGATTGGTCAAGCCAGATAAACCAGCTTTGATGTCTTTCTAATAAGCCAGCTTCTTCCTCCGCGTTGAAACCCTGCAAATGACCCACAGTGCGAGTCAATCGATGGCGGTTTGTCCAGAGACCTGCGTGTGTTATGCGAGCAGCCGATAAACTCACTTCTTTCAAACCCCCCGAGTACGTTGGCTGTTCAGACTTGTCCTCAGCACCAACTTACGCTGACTCAAGTGACATCACTTGAGGACATTTAGCAGTCTTCACAAAGCCTCTTCTGGGGACACAAAAGCCCTTTATACTACCATTTTTCAGCACACAGCGTATTACTCATCGCCACCTATAAAAGCGGCTTTGATTCGTACGGTTGGTGGAAATAACCTTCGATGCCTCCTCACATTTCTACCTCGGGCCACGGTGCTGCAGCTGCAGGTACTGTAGTTTCCCAGCAGCAGCAGGCAGCTGTTTTCTGCAATTACGCCCCCAACGCCCACCATGCTCTCCCTTTACTGTCAACATAGTTAAGCAGTTTGCAGCTTACTAGCCAGTCATTTCCCCTTGAGGTTGAAAAGACAAAAAAAAAAAAAAAAGAATAGTGGACTTACATTTGCCAGCTGAGCAGCGACACAAATCCAAATGAAGCAGCGTTTTTTCCATGTATTAAAAAGCCAACAACTAATGCAGGTTTAAGGTATAAATGTCGTCTTTCTGTTATGTATAAACCCTTTCGTTTGCGGGGTAAAGGGTCATTTGTTGATTGATAAGAACACGGAACACGGAACACACATGTTTACACGGAGCACCACATGCACCCTGGTGGATGGACAGACACACTGTGAATTGTCAGAATGATGGATGGTTTTTTTCCACCTCTTTGTTTTTGTCTAAGCCTGCAGTAGAAATCCATTGTTTGGTCTCTGGAGACGCGAGTGGAAACACTCTGATAGGATGTGGAAGAGGGAATATTATTCCCACAAGCGTGCGTGTTTGTCTCTCGCTCTCTGACAGATGCAGCTTTAGGGATCAAGTGTAAGCGGCGTTATAATTGGTTAACTATTTGTAAGACGGAAAGCCATCGGACAAACCCGATGCGCTCTTGTGGTGAAAAAACAATCAGACACAAGCTCTGCGGTGGTCCATCTCTCCTTCTACTGACACACATATAAACTGTATGAACACGTCATTAACGACAAAAAAAAACAACTTTACGATGAGGAGCGATCAAGCACATAAATATGTCAATAATTAGACAATATAGCATTTTCCTGGTAAACTTTGACCGGGCAAGTCAAAGCCTAAGTCCACCCAAAAGGTTCTTAGTACCGGCCAGATTCATGTGTTGTCGTTGTTGCTTAGCAACAAAGGCAGCGGAGGATGCAACATGGCTCCACCTGACAAATAGAGACGTGTCTGGTACAAGCAGTTATCAAAGTGATCCTGTTAGGATTCCTGTCTGCTCCGTGTGTGTGTTTCTGTTTTTTCCTCCTGTCTGTGTTGTTGTTGTGAACCATGTGCTTATGTTTTGTTTTTGTTTTTTTTGTGTCAGCCCATAGTTTCCACCCCTGTGTTCTGTCCACTTCCCCGCCCCTCTCTCGGTGATCGCTGCTGGCTGGCGATAAAATGCCACGGCGATGTTTCCACGACGCGTATGTCTCAACACCGATTTAGTAAGAGTCTTAACCTCTCTGTGTGCGTTCACCTCCCCTGTCGCGCAGCGTTGATCCCGCGTAGTACCACGGGGACGCTCCTGTCAAAAGTGCTCCGGCCTCCACAGTCCTGTCCCGTCTTGTCTCTCCAGACCGTGTCCCAGAGGGAGATTGGAGGAGTTCCCTTGCCGACCCCCGCCAAAGCCGGAGGAGCGTCTTTATTTCGTTGGACTGTTTTCTACAGCTTTGTTTGTTTATTTTTTTGTTCTATCCACTTTATTGAGAATATAGTCCTTGGTTGGATTTAACCTGCTGCTGTGTGAGCGTGCGTTTCGGTCCAGCTACAAATCATACATCACAAATCCCACTGACACTCTATAGTTTGAAGTGGTTGCACAACAAATAGCAAGAAGAAAGTAATGAATACAAAGATCCACATAATTAAAATCAATAGAGCTCTGGCCTGTGAAGAGTACGGTCAGGGTCAACATCAACATTTTAGGTACACATCAGTTCTAGAAGTAACAGACCTGATTATGAGGGTTGAAAGCCATGAACATACGCTGCACCTCGTAGCTTTGCCGCCTGAATCACATGTTTAGCTAAGGTCCCTCACCTCCAGGCGTGTTCAGCGTCTTAGCGCACTTTGGAGCTGTAGATTAACTGGACGAGAGCCATGTCTTTAAAGAAAGCACCTGTCAAGGGAGCCGGCTGCCCCGTACAGGACTTTCAGTCAGGAAACCCCCGCGGTCCGAAATGTTACGCTCCGCAGAGGACAGCAGCAGTCCTTGGTGAAACAGGAATAGACCTCGCTAAGGTAGGAGCCTTGTTTCATTTCTTTTCTTTCAAATGTGCAGATTGTGAGGGGAGCCAGAGACATGACGACTGTACCTCCACAGGTCTGATCCGCGTGGATTCAATTGGACAAACGTCTTAGGGAAACAGCGGCTGTGTCAAAAATCACCTCCGTGTCCACTATTTCCTACACGATAAAGTGCAACGACCACTTAATGTGGATGTGATCTTTTCCTTTTAATAAAGTAGTCTGTAGATAGAAAATGCTACCTTCGCTGAGGAGGCACTTGTTTTGTCTGACGAATCTCCAATGTATTAAGATAATTCATACACGCAGCAGACACATCTTTGGTTGAGGTGCCAGAATATCATCTTTGTGTCACGACCTCAGCTCCACGAGTAGGGTTTCCTGTTTGTCTCTGTCGGTTTGTTCCAGTTGCCGAGCAACGACAAGGCGGGAGAACCAGGATCACCAGCGCCTGCTCCCACCTGTGCCCAATAAACACACCTGGTCCTGATCATCGTCACCACAGTATTTAAGCAGAGACCTGACATCCAGTCCCCCCCGGATCGTCAGCCATCAGCCTTCATTAACCCTGGATTCCCGTCACTCCTGAACCTCTTCCCCACATCGTGACATTCACCTGTCTGCACGTTGGAAATGCCACTCGCCTTGTCTAATAAATACTCGAAAGGGTAAACCAAAGGGTCTCGTCTAATCTCAAAATACTCCTTTTAGTTCACTAAATGAAGGAACACAGGACACTCGGTGGATGAAGTAAGAAATGCAGATGAACAAAGGACAGATAATGAGAAGGCGATCTAAAGGAGATTGCAGTAACTATTGAGAAGGATCTGGTGCAGCTTGTTTGTGCAAACGTTCTCTCCAAATCAAAACAGGTGTGAACATCATCCCAAAAGCATCCTGACGGAGGAACAGAGCGTGGTGGAGAAGGCACGCCACAGTAGGCCGCTCTGCTGACATCAGCACATTACTGTATACTGTAAAGAGAACCAGATCCTCGCTGATTATTGCAGGCGTTTTGCATGGACATGAGAATGTAAATTCAAACCAGCTTAACTTTCCCTTCATTTTTCAAGTGCAGGGTCTTTGCTTTGTTTCCATTTCAAACATGTGCCGATTCCAGAAAAACTCTTTTTGTTTGGTCTGCCTTTGGTCTAAACTCCAGCATGTGTAGTCATAACAGAACAGCTCGTTGTGGAATTAGATGTACTAATCACTTTTGAATATTCACTGCCATCCACATGGATTATACATGGAATAAAATGTTATCATCACTTCCTAATGTAGTCGTGTAGAGGACAAATGTCCAAGTTATAATCTATGTAATTGTGTGAGAGTATAGCTATGGATACATTTACGAGGGGGAGAATAGTGAGAATAGTTACATTACTCCTCAGAGGCACCAACCAGTCGTCACAGCTCTCGCCCCGTGGCTGACTGGTGACCTCTACGTGTGTGTGTGTGTGTGTGTGTGAGCTTTCAGTCTGCTCACTAGTCTCTATTATGCCACATTTCGATGTTTTTTTATTTAGAAAAAAACAAACAATCAGGGGATTTATTGTTCTTGGGTTGTGGAAAATATAACCAAAGGGATTTTAACTTGACCGATATCTGTTATAATGACAGACAGCGGACGGGCGGGTTCCCACACGGAGACTGATTAAGCCAGAGAAGCCAGACCAGTGGTTGCTATAAACGACTGTAGCCTGTCCACAGCTGAATCTAATCGCCATGACAACCGGTCAGCTGCCCGTACAACTGCAACTCTACCAAACAACTGCCTGTTTTTTGTTTGTTTCTAACAAACATAAGGAAGCTCTCTGCACAGCTTAACGGCGCCCTGCATGCTCCAAAATACCCTACTTACCCTTTGGCCAAAGCTATAAAAGGACTCGTCCTTGGGATCCCCCAGCAGGTCCTCCAGGTCATTTGAGGACAGCAGTATATTCTGAGGAAACAGAGAGGACGATTTCCAAAGTTAAAAGAAACCCACAAAGAAAGCGTTCAGAGCTAAACCGATGATTAACCAAACACACAGAGTTCATAAAGTTAGCAGAGTGGAGCAAACCCACTTTTTTATTTTTAATCCTGTGCTGATCTTCTATCTTTGTTCTAAATATATAACAGGTTCTGCTGCAGAGGGTTTTACTACACGAGGCTGACGGTCTGGCCTGTGGGATTAAAAAGGCTTCTCCTTAAAAAAAAACCATCAACATGTCGGAGCAGTGCTGTTTATACAAGTCAAAGGATCAAAACTAAGAGGATTTTTCACTCATCTCTCCTCACCTCCTGGCCGTTGTGGGTACGTGGGGAGCGAGGAGGCTTGGCGGCGGTCTCGCCACAGAGGGGCACGTGCTGGCTGCACTGTAGACGGGCGGCGTCCGGGTAGCCCATCAGGACGGTCAGCTGTTGGATTTGACCCTGTAGAGACGGACACATGAAACCCGCCACGAGTGGTCTACAGTTAGAACATTCAAATCCACCTCATGTTGAAAATGAAAATGTTTAAGTGAGTCTTGATCAGTGGCGGCTGGCCAATAGAGGGCAATGGGGCGTCGCCCCACCTGATCCCAAGAGAAAGGAAGGAAAAGAAAATATTCAATTATAGCTAGTAACATAAAAAAATATCAATATTTGTGTTTTTCAAACATGGAATGTATCTAGTAATATTTGTAAAATATGACATCCTGCACGTCCCTCATACGCACGTCTGGCTGACTAGAAGGCGGGTCTAAGAAGCACTTTAGCCAATTGCTGATTATATAAAAAAAATGTGTGGCGTACAATTTAGACAGCGTCCTTAAATACACTCAGCCTGCGGCAACATTGGTTTCGCCCCAAGCTTGTGCGTTCTCGTTGTGGCTGGTATCGACAGGCGGAGGACGTAAAGAGCACGGATCTTATTTCCATTCAAGCAGACGAGACAACCGGCATACATACATACAGTAGATTTAGATCATACTGATTATTATTTGATATATATATATTGAATTGCCAGTGAGGGTGACAAAAATGAGATGAGATCATCAAAGTGTTGCAATAAATACTAAATGTTTGACAGCAAAGTAGTAATGTGCTTCAATACCTTAATTGTTTTGCATCAAATCACCTGGTATGTTTGTTAACTACCGGAAACATTTTCCGCCACTGCTCTTGAGGAATGATAAACTCGACAACTCGAGAGATACTTGCACACCATGAACATTTGGCTCGGCATCAGAACAATTTTTTTTTTTAATTTACCCCAGATTTGGAAAATGACAATACTAATACTAATCTTGTTGGTTTAATCACCTATATAGAAACAATATTTATACTAAAACGAGACGTTTTTCCACCACCACAGCAATGATTTTAAGTAGAACTGTAAAAATGTCAAGAGTTTAGATCTGTAATCTGTAAAATTGAATTACCACTTTGCAATTATAACGCATCAAACCAATCAAGCTACAGTTAATAGCCGTGCCAAAATGTCTTCACCTCCTAATTTTATCCAACAAGACATTTGTTGGAAATTGTTTGTTGAGGTAGTGGTGATCTTTCACATTTAATCAATTCATTCTTGAGCCCCGGTGGATATTTGCAGTGGACATATTCATGCAGAACTGTCTGTATACGCCTTGTACACGTTTTTGTATTCACAGAATATACACTTACAGTACAATACACATGTAAACAGAAGACACACGCAAGGTTACTTGTGTTAAGAGAGATTGTCGTGTGTTTGACTGTGGTTCCTTTCCTCCAGCAGAAACGCTGACATCAGGCCAAACATGACAAAACATCAGCAGACATTTAGAAACCTCCGCTCCGGCTGTGTTTATAAGAATGAGATGGGGGATGACAGAACGTCTGCGTCTGTGTGTGTGTGTGTGTGTGTGTGTGTGTGTGCACGCAGTTTGAATTCCTTTGTGAAAAATAAAATCATTCATTATGCCAAAGGTTGCTGGTGCGTATCCTACACGTCTTATGCACATATAAAACCAAATTGGGGGAAATTAAAATAAGTTAACGAGCCGTTTGATTTTATTTTCTCAAACCCCCACAGACAATTGGAAAGGAACCATTTTTTTCTATTCAATGCAGAAATGCGTGGCTGGGTAAATAAACATGAATGTTTCATGTTTTTTGCGGAAAAGCAAACCTCGGCACCTCCGAAACCCCAAAACTAAAACTAAAAATAGAAAGGGATCAAACCACACTCATGTCCGCTAAATACGGACATCTGCTGCACATTTTCATGTAGGAAAATAATAATATATCTACTACTATTTGTGGCAATTGATCCTGACTTGTGAAGCAGACATATATATATATATATATATATATATATATATATATATATATATATACAAACATTTGTCTAAACCAAACACAGATGCCCAAAACCCTTTATCAAACCATGGCATCACATTCAACTCTTAACTAGAGGAATCCATTAAAACCAAGCAGAACTCGTCCCAGTCATGCTGCAGTGGAGTGGGTGACAGGCAGAATTATAGATAAAAGCACAGAGCAGTTTTCTATGGTTTGGCGCTGCCAAAGACAAAATACTGTCCGGAGACGAGACTGTCGCCACCTCTGAGTGTGGAAGTGCTCCGTCCTTGGAGCTGTGTAAATATCTGTCGCGGGGGAAACGAGGAAATGGAGAATGCATGTTATCTGGTGCTGAGAACTAATCCAGATGTTGCCCCTGCACCGATCCCTGCCAGCTCCGGTCCTCAGGCTGGTTCGAAGTGGGACATACGTCCGCCATGCTAAGCCATGTGCATTATGGGGCTTCAAACTCAGCCTCAAACGGAAGAGTGTCGGTTTTTGCCCTTGAAATGAAAATTCAAAGGACCGTACAAAGTAATGAATAGCAGGTTTTGTGACTTAATCTGCACTCAAACTACATTACCAAGCAACTATAATGGAACTCAATAATGCCGAGTTGGGGATCCCTGTGTCAGATTACACGATTCAGGAGAGTTTCTCTTAGTGGATTACTCAATCGTTTGATTTGGTCTTAGACGACGAAGATATCTATGCTTTTATTTATTATTTCAAGACAGTGTGTGTGTGTGTGTGTGTGTGTGTGTGTGTGTGTGTGTGTGTGTGTGTGTGTGTGTGTGAGTACCATAATCATGAGCTCTTTTCAGACCAAATTCAAATGAACTGCACTGTACACATGGGGCTCATTACCAAGCAGAGTTGTTTTAAACATCATCTGGCTGTAGCACAGCCACCTGGTAATGTGATATGTGTTATTACACAGACAATGTGGAGCAACATTCCACAATTCTAAGAAAAATAGATTTTAAAAACCGTGAAGGACCGTTTGTACCGCCTGAGGTCCAATATCACGCCGGCTGAGATCCTGACCTGAGGTTGGTAGAATAAAAGTCAATGAATGCCAATGGGAGTCTTGTAAATGTTTACAAAGGAACAGATTACAGATTACATGGTGTGGGGTTGATTATTATAGGCGGGGTTGCTTTGGTGTGTCTTAATGTTTTCTTTATGATCACTGAGAAAATAAAAGAAGAAGCAATAGTTGCATTTGGGGACGGAGGCCCTTTACCTCAAACGGAGTCTCAAAGCCCTCGATGACGCCTCCGACCACGAGCAGCCCGTCGCTGCTGATCCCCAGGCCTTCGTAGACCCAGTCCACACTCTCCAGGAGCGAGCAGTCCACATACAGCGCCAGCCGCTTGGCAGACACACTGACGGCCACACGGTGCCACTTTCCATCAGACAGGCCGCTGACTGGGAACCTGACAGGGAGACACACGCATGGGCCGTTATGTAAGCACATGTCTTGAGATGACATAAGTGCATGGATTTATCTAGGAGATCATTTCAAACCAGACTTTCGGACTGTTAGAATACAGATGTCAGGAAATGTTCAAACCGCTTTTATATCCTCATCTGAGAACCTTCCTTTACATCAGCCAGGTTTGGGTGGCAGGTCTGGAGATCGTCTAAATGCAATAATTTTAATGCTACACGCTGGGCAGCTGGCAAGCAGCATTCAATATTATGTTGGGCTGGAAGCAATAAAAGAATGTGTCCTGCTGGTATTGGATAATGTACAGACATGTGCCTCACATGTATATTCTCCCTACAGTTAGAAAGAAGGTTTCTCCGCGGATGTATCAGGCTTACTGCAGCTCCTTCTGGAGCCACAAAAGGCTTTCTGAAACCGTTTGTTTCCCACATGTGCAGCAGGATATCCCCTTAAAACAGACTTGGATGTGTAAAATCGGGTTCCCCTTCAATGTGAAAAATATCAAATGAGTGAGGCTTTAGAGGCAGAGCTTACAGAATATGTTGGTATTCACATACAACAGGTGGAGAGGAGGTTGCGTGTGGAGTCAAATATTCTGTGCTTCTCAAGCCGCCAGGAAAAGCCCCAAGTAAGGAAGCAAATTCTACAGGGTGGTGGAAACATTTACAACTTCAGAACAGAAGAATTACACTTCCGGATCATGTGATGCCATGAGGCCCCAAAACCTTGGTCCACGCACACTTCAGGTGGGCTGACCTTTAGGATGGAGCGGCTACTCTCATTGGCACAACCTTCTCCCGTGTTCGGGCTGGATTGAGTTTGTACCCTATGGTTGAATGCACTTATTGTACGTCGCTTTGGATAAAAGCGTCCGCTAAATGACATGTAATGTAATTAGTATTTTGGGGTTTAAAGAAACAGGTATGTGAACATACATTTTTCGTTCAGTTTTTACACAGAACAAACTTCTAAAAACAAGACTCACTGTCCTCTAGAGGAGAAGCTGGACTTTTGCCCAAACTGACGGTTGTAGATTAAAATGAAACACAAACCGACACTAACAGAGAAGTAGTGGAAGTAGTAGTTGTATATTACATCGTGGGATCTTTGTGTCTCCATCTTTTGGCCCTGTTCTGTGTTGCTGTCTCGCCTTGATGAATTGCTTGGAGCTCTGCGTTTCATGAAGAAAAGAAGACCGCCAAGAGGGGTCTAATAAATCATTTTGAACCAAACGCACACATGCTTGCAAACAAATGCACTTCCTGAGAGCTTTCCTCCATCTGAGAGACACATTTAAATACACTCCGGCCAAGAAGCGACAACGGGTGGTCCTCATTTACCTGAGTTGGATGTGGTAACCATCTTTTCACATCACTTATCACCTTCCCTTTTAAAAATGTGAAATACATGAAAGTCCAAAGCTTTTGCTTATTTGTCTCACTTATGATAAATTGATACCAATTAATCATGAAGAAATGTTACTAAAGTTCTGCCTAAGCCGTTCCAACGCTCGACAAGTGCACAGCTTGCACTCCATTGACATTGATTTGCCTCTGGGAAGGAAAAGGAAAAGAAAGAGACAAAAATAAGCGACCCGTGCTCACTCGTAGTGCCGCTGCTGTGTTGCGATGAAGATGATGGCGTGAGCACTGATCCGCAGCTGCAGCATAATGTGGCTGTCGGGGCTGAGCATGGTGAAGACACTGCGTTCGTCTCTCTGAGGGCTCCTCAGCTGCACCAGTACGCTGAACTCGTCTGCGAAGCTAAACGGAAACATGGTGGCCATACATCAGAAGATATCACGCGGTGGAAATGGACCTACAGGAGGACACATTGGTTCCACCTAACAACGGGTTCCCAAATGGAGATGAAAGCGTACCCGTCAGTGAGGAGATGTCGGAGAGGGAGAGCCAAGGTGGAGTACTGCCCCACCTGAAGGACGGGACACCTGCTGTCCTCTAGGCTCATTGAGGCGTTGCTGCTGTTGGACAGCTGAAGGGAAAGCTCCTGCAGAAGGTTCAGCTCATCTGTAGTGACACAGTTCAGAGAAAGCACAGCTTAAGCCATTTGGGCCGCATATAGAATATGGTGTATGTTGTGCTTGATGTGGATTCGATCCCAGTTTTAGATGAATGAACTACAAAATGTCTGATTTAGCTTCACAAAACTCCACCTTGGTAACTGTGTTATCTTGTGTGTGACAACGGATTAAAGCACCCAATGATATTTTAGTGCGTTCCAGCATTGTGGGAACAGATAGGGGAAGACCATGTCCTGTTCCAACACCAGAGCTCCTCTGTACACAAAGTCAGATTCACAAAGAAGTGACGTGGCCCCATTCAGCCCGACCTCACCACCCAACGGCCTCAGTCACTAAGGCTGCAATCAGAAGGACAGAATAGACATGAAAAGGGTCCTGACGGCGGCGCTCGGTCTCTCTTCCACCTGAACAGCCGAATCTTCTGGTACGATTGATGTTTTGATGGCTTTTTTTCTCCAGCATCCCTTGCGATCCCCAGTGCCACAGCCTAAACACACAACCCACATCATCGCGGAATAGGGATGGGGTTTTGCAGGACATTGATCAAAGCCTGTCGTTATAAAAAGACGAGCGACGTAATGTTCGGTGGACTGCACATTTTCTCTGCACCTTGCTAAGATTAGGGAACTCAGACCGTAACCATCTGCAGCAACTAAACCCAATCACTCTTTTGCCGGCAGAGGAAGAAAAAAACAAAAAACGCACCATGCTGTGAGCAGACCACGGATGGCATTCCTGAAAAGCGGGAAACCACAAACGGGGCCGTTGCCTTAAAAGCTAGAGATTCCAACAGTTTTCAAGATTATTTTGTGTTGCTTAACCTTCGGTGCTTCTGAATCCTAAACATTGTTGTGCTGCTCAACCACAGCGTCACTAGAAGTTAGTCAAGGAGTCTTATTTGTCCTCCACGGGAGCATGTCCTGTCCCCACGGGTGGGTTCTTGCGGATTAACGCTTAGCTCTTTACTAAAGAATGCCGCTCATCATTATCTTTGGAGGAAGGGATTCACCACTCAAAGGCTGTTGTTGTGTACTGACGGTGATCACACTTGAACCTGGGAACTGACTGAGATCATCCTTCAACGTCATTGTGCACATGGCCATGCTGGGACTAATTAGGCCAACGGAGAGGGTTCGTTTTAGAAAAACCACGGATAAGACGCCCATCCGGGATCAACATGACCAGCAGGGTGCCTAAAGTCTACAATAGCAGCACTAAAACCTAAAGCTGGGATTTAACCTCTTTGAACATGTCTAAAGCGCCCTCAGGACTTTTTCCAATACGTATACAGGCCTGCTGAAGCAGCACTTACACAAAGATGAATCCATGTCCATTAGCTATTTACACTGGTCCTGACAGACAGATCACCGGTCTACAAAGAGCGGCGCGGTCACACTCTGCTGCCCCGAGGAACGGCGCTGTGGGAACAAATCTGGTCTCGCACTAAAAATTCCAACATACCAGCCGGGAATCCTTAAAAGATATGGACAAGAAGCACTTAAGAGACAAGAAATGATTTGAATAATGGTTTGCTTCACACTTTTGACCTTCAGTTAACGGCCGTGAGGAATGCGGGCGGCCGGTCACATCATCCGATGATCAGGTAACCCGTCACGTGTTCTTAAAAAAGGGCTTTGAGGCACGATAGCCTGTAGATGACAGACAGGTTTTATTCATCGGAGGCCAAAAAGAACCTGCGTGATGAACTAGCGCTGCATCCTATTTCAGGCTTTAATCTCACAATCTATTTGATGAAATAGAGACTTACAGCAGATGCTGCCCACTAATCGGGTCATTTGATTTTGAGGAAAAAGATAAATAACCTATTCAAAAGAAAATATGAAGACACAGATAGAAAAATTGTATCCACGGAAAAGCCGGCCAACTGTCTGCATTTAAATAACGGTAAGGGCCGTTTCTTTCTTTTTCTTTTTGTCATCACAAAAGCGTTTAAACTGTGTAAAACACAGTGATGAACCAGCAGAGATCCAGATGAAGGCAGAGGTTTAAGATGGGTGGGATTCCAGGTACAAAGTAGGGGTGCCGGACTCCGAAACTAATTTGACACAGAGGCCAAACCTGCAGAACTCCGCCGTCACATGACTCCACTCTGCAGTTAAAGACTACAGACGAGATGTGTGTGATTCCTCACAACTGCATCAGGCAGTAAACCAGGATCACTTGTTATGATGTCAGTCGCGGCTTTTCCTCCAATAGCTAATGAATCTGTTTTTTCTATTCTAGGATCTGATGTTCCACGAAAAATAAAATATTCAGTAGGCACGTCATGTCTGCTCAGTTAATGCCGAAAATTCAAATGATAATTTACTATTGTACAACGGCCTTAAAACCACATCCAAGACAACACAGTTAGTGTAGCATACTATCAATATAGCATAGTGATAACACATTGATTATTCCTCAGACATGTATATTTGTACGGGCATCGTACATTCTGCACAAAATTACACAAGCGGCCGACAATTCACGAAGTGCAGCGGAGCGCAACAAAGACACCAACATCAAACAGGGAATTAGCGACCTCCAGTCTCCATCTCAATGAGCACTAATGTCCCAGGAAGTGGAAAACCTTCTCCGCGCTCTGATGGTCTTCATCAAGCCTCACTTGTGTTCACGAAAGAACACTTCAATGCCGAACAATGCCGTGCCCTCAAGGAAAACTTCGAAACGCACTCATGTGCTGTTCTTCCAACGTTATAATCAAAGGATCAAGCCATTACAGTCATGCCTGTTGTGTTTCTGGCAAAAGTGAAACAGATGTTGGAGTCTTACATCAGAAGAAACGTGTGAACAGTAAGGACCTTTAGGGTGAGCTCGGTCTTCTGATAATTTAACTACTTGATTTATCCAGAGGCATCAAAGGCTTTTGCATTGAATGTTTGCTTGCTGTTACTCAACTTCACAATATGAGTGCTAATGTGAAAACATAAACAGTAGTCATGTTTTTATCATGCTAAGGACCATAGCTTATCTGGTGTCAACGTTTTAGCTGTTGCAACACAGCATTAAATAGTGACTGGGTGTTTTAGGAAAAACATCAAATTTGGCAGAAATAAGGAAGTAACTAAATATATTATATTATATTTAGTCCCACCCCAAAAGGTTTTTCGATGACAATGCAATGCTGATACTAAAGTTTATTGCTGAACATGTGTAACGTGGCCCAAGCTACCAGCGAACAGCAAGCACGGTTGCGTAAAAGCTTATGATAACAATAATAATAGCATGTGTGGATGGACTAAGAAAATCGAGTGCCTCGGGGAAAGTGTACTGAACATGACAAAGAGCTGTGTAAGATCTCTTTAAGTGTTCCCTGTCATTGTTCTTCATCAATTATCATTCCATGTTTTGATTCTTTCCATAAATGTCCCCCGTTGACTTCTGAGGAGGGAAAGTTTTATTGTGTAACAAACGCAGGGGCTTCACTATGATCTGCCATTCTTACACAAATAATACAAACGCCTCCAGAGTCACACAGAGGAAACATGTAAAAGGCTCCAGTGAGTGTTAAATCTAATTAATCTCCAGATAAAAAGCTCAATGGTGTCGACAATAGATGTCTGACATAACTTATTGCACATAAGCGCTTCCGTTGCTGAAAAAAAGTCAGTTGTGCGTAACAAGGAGTCCACATCTCATCGACAATGACCCAAGAAATGTACATGATCTCTCTGGCAGCGCGATCATGTGTAAGTTGACTCATCTGTGACCTTTGAGAGTGGTTTTGTGTTTATGAGACGCATATGGTGGTTCACATGCATTTGGCATTGCACTATGAAGCTATATCATTTCCATCATTGCCTGTGATTTCTCCACATGTTACAGAGAGTAACATAAGACTTAAGATAACAAAAGAGAGTCAGATTATTAAATTATTGCGGTTTTAAAAAGGCACCAAGATAACTGATTAGTTTTGAAGGCCTCACATTTAAGGTTTGACAAATTTGCAATAACGGACAAACTTAAGAAACAAAATCCGTCAAACTTAGTTCTGCTTTTGCTGAATTAAGTGCATTATGTCGATGTCTTCTACCTCGTGCCTTTGTGAGATGCGTCAATGATTGGCCGGTGACTTGAGGTGAATTTACTGCTCGTATTTTTAGGGGTTAAGTCATTTAGCCTCCACAGTTACTTGTTTGGACATGCTTCTCATTCTGCAGGTACGCAAACATGCACAGATGTGTTCTGGGAGAAGGGAGTCAAGAAGACACAATAAGTGGATTCATTCACAGGATATGACTTTGTTTTAAAATCGACCAAACAATCTAAAAAAGGACCAGACGATGAATCAACAATGTCTCTGCAGAGGAATAATTATCACCTTAAAACAACAGATTATGTGCACCAACTCAAAACATGTTGGGGTCCAGCTCCTGTTCTGATTTCATAAAGTGAATAAAAGAAAAAAAAAAAAGGGTTTGCCGATCGCGATCGACCAATATGAATTTTAAATACAACGGATACTTTGAAGGGCGAACAAATGGTCTGATCAGATGGCACATGACACGCAGGACAGCTTCTCAATACGCAGCTAAAACGTGTTCACTGGAGTTATGAGTTGTGTTTGTGTGTGTGTGTGTGTGTGTGTGTTTGTCTGTGTTTGTGTGTGTGTGGGACTGTTCAAAGATAACGCTGCTGTAATGAATTAATGAATTGATCCAAATACTTACTGTATAATGTTGTCAAGAATACTTCTACTGCTACACAATGAATATAAAGCTTCAAATAGGCCGTGACTGGGATCTGCTGGTGTGGCTTCCAGTGATTGTTCCTAAAAACGCTGATCGGTATTTACTCAGCGATAACGGACGTAAACAGGACACAATCGGTTAATGTGGCTGTCGATGTGTGAGAACCAATGCTACACTGTGTTTCATTTCCTTTGCCAGGGGCATCTTTGGGGAAAGAGTTGTACACCTGAACGCATCAAGATGACCTCATCCACACAGGACTGCAGAGCTGAGA